TGAATTCTTAAGATTCTGTTATTTTTTATTTCCTTGCAGAAAATATACTGCCAAATTAAGAACTGTGCTTCTTGAACTGTCTCTCAAAATGTTTCCCTGCTTGAAGGAGGAGGATGAAAACGATGTTGCTTTAGGGTAAGTTCATGCGATCTTTAGAGTCAGGAATTTTGAATCAGTATTTAACAAACAACACAAGAAGGTAATTGGGCAAAAATAACTGCCCTAGGAAAAATCTTGTAGCAGCCTTTATATAACAGCTTTATCTATAATAGGTTTAAACAGTTTTTTCCTGAAGTTATCTGCTTTTACAAACAATTATTTGTGTTTTTGGGATTAGTACAACACCTAGAGCTGAGATGGATGTCTAAATCTATATTGTGATAAGCAAATAAATAAGAGTGACAACTAACACCCTTGTTGGCTTGGATACAAAATCAATAAAAATTTCACATGATTCTTTTTTATTTTTCATAAATCTGGTAAAACTTCCATTTTGTTTGACCTTGGAATAGGGGAGAAAGACACTTTCATTTCAGAATTTGCGTGATGTACTGCTGTAAATATATCATAGTTGTCTCATCTAACAAAGAATTTAGGAGTTTTTTAAAAAATCTGCCTCCCTTATCTAAAAGGCTCTTTTTTGCACATAGCATCAAGTATTTCTTTTCATAATAGTGGGTTTGTAAATTGTAAATCTATACTTGGGAAAATATTCTTTAAAAAATTATTTATCCCTCTTTTTCTACAGTAAGTTAGATAATCATTGCTTTATTTTGGTTTGGAAAGTTTTTTTAAAAAAAGAACCATAGCAGAAACATCATTAGTAGGCTGCACTAATAACATGATTTCCTCTCTGTCAGGACACAAATATGACAGTTAAAGTATTGTCTGTGAGGGTGTTAAAACACATGATTACCTACATTCTTATCCTAAATCAGTTAAGTTTTCAACAAGCATTTTATGATGATTTCAGAATGAAAAAGTTTGATATGGATTCTTAATGGATTTAACCACTGTCCAATCTGATATTCCACAGTGCCCCTATTAGCAGGTAGTTCAATGCCAGGTGCAGCTAATAAAGTTTTGTAAATATTAGAGAATGAAGACACTCTTCTGAGACTAAGTCATGCAGGGTGTTTTGTTTTGTTTTTGTTTAGATTGATGTTTTTTGATACGTCCAGCAGTGTTCCCCCTCCTAAGGCACTCCTTTTTTTAGCATTTTTCTCAGAGTATATTCAGAGACTGTTTGTCAACAGTGGAGAACAGGTTAAGAGGGCTTGAAGTGGGGAGAAAAGAAGGCCATATAGATAAGGTGACCAGATTTTAACATTGGTAAAGAGGGACATTGACCGGGGGAGGGGGGGGTCTTGATTAATTTTTTTTTAAAAAATTGGGACTTTTTTAAAACGCCACGGGACGCTCCAAATCCTCTTCAATGTATATAATTGAACAGAGGCCCAATTAGACCAGTTAGTACAGACAACCAGGATCATAGGTTCTTAAAACAAAACATATGTCACTTACAAGGTTGATGCTGGTGGGATTTTTTGTGAAGACCAGGAAATGAGTCATACCCAGAGATTTTGTCACAAAATCTTTCAAAGAATTCTTCTTCCGCACATAAAAAAGACACAACTGTGACTAGGGCCATTCCACTGCCTGGCGTGCTTTGGGGAGAAAATCTAGGATAAAACATATTTAAATTTTACTTCATTAATAGAAGTAAATAGCATTGCAAAAATGGACTGAACAATAGATTGGTTTGCCTAGTTCCCTTTGTGATGTTACAATATTTAGCCAAGTTGTTCATTTTATAGTCTACTTTGATAATAAAATGCAATCATAA